TTCCCCATGCCTTTCATGCAGAGATAATAGACTCATATTAACATTTGAACACAAAGTTCAAATCCAAGTAACTCAGAGAGAAATTAGTTCAGCAAACCATCACTCAAGGTTTCTAATCACTTAAAAAAAACCAACAAAAAACCAACCAAATAAATGTTCCAAAAAATAAACCACAAGGATATTCATTAATGTGTACACTCATAGATACGAACTCATATGGAAAAAAGGCATTTGTCAGGTATTATTCTGTAATTTTTCTTGTTACCAGTTGATAGATACACAGGCATATTTTTCTTGAGAACAAGGAACTCTGTACTAGATTTCATACAAATGGAATTAGATTTGTTTTCTGTTTGTCATTCAATTCCAGACATAATAGCCTTGTACTTACTGTATATTATAATTACCTAGAGTAAGATTATGACTTGATTATAACCCTGGTCTTCAGTACAGCCAAGAAAATTTATGCCAAATGGTTCAGTGCTAAATAAGAGTCACTGACTGGTAATAGTGAAAAGAATAAGTATGACCATTTGGTTTTGGTTTTGTTTGCCTTTCAATTTATGTTGCATGGCACTCAGGTCCAGATAAACGGATGAACTGCTGGGAAAAGTGGTGCTAAGTGATTAGACTGTTAGGAAAAAAAAAGGCCTTGGATTCCTTTGACCTATTTTTTATTATTTTCTTGATTCCTTGAAAGAAAGAATAGCCAAGTATTCTTAATTTTATTATCTCGGAAAAATTTATAGCCTTAATGTAAACCATGTCTAGGCTAATGAAGACAGACAGCCTGGCTTTAGGAGCACCTCGAAACTCTGTGCTTATAGGGCTTTAAGTGTTTAAATGCAGGCTTGGTTCTGTATGCTGTCTTCTCCCTTTATTCTCTTTTATCTTCCCTGAATATCACTAGGTTCTCAGGTAGCCACAGGGACCTTGACTACACGTTTGGAAGACTGCAGAATGAAAAATGGTAAAGTTGGTTCCAAGGGCAGCTTTAGAGATTCTTTAGACAGCATAGGCAGAGCCACTGAGGAAATATACCAGTTGGTGAGGTAGGGAAAAGTTCCACAAACAGACTACTAGTGAGTTGATTTTTTTTTTCCCCTAGATGCCACAAACTTGTAATTGAATATTATTTTCAGTAATATATTAATTATTTCATGGCTATGCACAGCAGGGTAACAAATGGCTGGAAGTTGTATGGAGAACTCTGACCAATAAAGGTACAAATATTAAAAAACTTCCACCTTACCAACTCACAGCCAGATGTTTCAACCTTTAAAATATCTTTAATCAAAACACCTTATCTTTTATCCAGTACATAAAGTCAGAATTTTTCTTTTCCAGCTATCATCAGTTATGACAAAAGGGAATTTAAACAAGGCAGGTTTAAAAAAAGTCAGTGAGATAAAAATGTTGATCAGAAATGCATTTTAAGTTATGAAAATAAATATTTTCACTGATTGCAGGAACTGCTAAGCCAAATTTTCAGACTTGGCCACCTAAAACAAGTACTATTTTCTCATCTATTTCAATGTGGTTTTCTTAACTTCATTGTATCATTCCTTAAAGCCAAATGGGATTTAATATCCTGGCAGCAGTAAGGCAGGAAATGTCTTACACACTTGGAAGACATAACTTGTGTCTAAGGAGGATATAGTGAGAAATAATAGAAATCAAGTGTACATGGGAGGATATAGAAACAAAAATTACCAAATTGGTGATGGACAGATGTGTTATTATTGAGGCATTTTCTTGTTGATTTCTTTAATTTTAAGTTAATTGTGACACTTGACTTTTTTCCTACCTAGATTGGGTTATAGAACTTTTTGACTTCAAATAAGCAAAGTTACTCCCACCTATAGCTTGTCAGTCAAGTCCCAAGATTTACAACCACAACAGCTAAGGAATGCCTTTAATTCCTCCACTCCAAATTTTTACTTCTGAAAAAAAGTAGTAAGGTCGAAGAGAGACTCAATTTAGTATTTGCAGTTATATTGAAAACAGCTTGCTTTAGAAATCCAGCGTGCCAGGAATGGTCAGGGAAGCTGAGTGACTCTACCTGCCTTCAATTTTGGCAGTTTACTGAAGGAAAAATTGTTCACACTTTTCTAGCCTTTTGGAATTTACAGAAAATGGTTTTCCTTCAAAAAGTTTTCTTTTTTTTTTTTTAATTGAGCAGATTTCCAACTCTTTGATCTTTTTAATATCTTTGGGGTAGAGATTTCTGACACAGAGACAGAACTCACTTTTGCATTAGGATCCCTGAGATATGCTGAAAAATACAGCAACTGTGAGCCCTATTTTAAGTTAATATTAAGCAGCTGTAAAAGTCTACTGAAGTAAAACCCTTTCCAAGAAAGTTACTTAAATACATTCAGTTTTATCCTTGCATCCTCATTCTTTACCTCTGCCACACCACAGTCAGTCCTGAAGTCATAGGTATCTAGTTAGATATGAACTTGTGCTTTTGCTTAATATGATCAAGAGTAGTCCCAAATAGATACAATCTGTACTGACTTTTATTGTACCAGTTTATTAAGGACTGATATCTAGAGTTTAGGATACTGGCATTAATAAGAGGACTACTTTTCTTTCCACCATAAGGGAAGAAAACTTTAGGAGAGTTTTAACAGATTTCTAACAACAAAATCCATGTAACAAGAAAAGGAGAGAAACTCCAGAAGTGACTGTCCAATCAAATCACTTTTTCTTGTAATAGCTAATGAGAAGTACAGTGTGCTTGACTTAATTTGTTTGAATCATTACTGAAATCTTTAATTCAGGTGCCACATCTGCTTTTGTGAGAGGTACACTGGACTGAGTACTAGAATGAGGTGAATGCATAAATCAGTTTAAATATGACAGTCCCTTCCTAGGACATTCCCAGCACACCAGGAACTGCAGCTGCCTGTGCCTGCTTGTTCTCAGCTGGGCTTTCTGTTGTACCTGGGAGTGAAATAAAACCTAATCAGTAGCTGGACTTGCAATCAGAAGCGAGCTTAGTGCGGAGCATTGGATCTGTTAGGAGGTACGGGCTGTCTCTCTCTCTGATGATGATGATGGAACAGTGAGAGAGCAACTATCATTACTCTGTGTGGTCCCAGTCATCTCAGAGGACGCTCTGCAGATCCATTTTCATTTAAAAAGAGAGTGTCATGACGGATCAGGGCACTGTGATCTAGATGGGAGCCAGGCCATATTAAAGGCGGATAAACCGTCACACTTAGGCTGATGTTAGAATGTAATCCTGTTAAGAGTTTCTCTACAGTATCACGTCATCTGGCATAATTGAAAAGAAATCACTCCTGACTGAAATATGCCTGTGAGAGAGAAAACCATGAACAGTGGTGTACCTAATCATACTGTTTCTATAAAAGAACAATATACAGTATGGGCTATATTGCAGTATTATGCTTACATACCTTTAAAATTTGCATTCATAATGATAAACAGGATTTTTCAGGGTGTCACTTTTTTATCTCCTGCTGTTTGAACCTTGAGGCTGATACCTGATGGTTCTCTAAATAAATGCAGTAATCTATAAGTACAAGGTTGAAGGGTTATAACAATTTGGCTCCTAAGGGTGCTCTCTATAATACCAGTCCATAGGATTCCCAGAAGTAGCATCAGGGGCATGTTATAAACTGTACAGCATTATCAGAAGAACAAGGTTTTATGGATGACCAAAGTAAGTTTCTTTCTGAATGATCTGGATGTTCTTAAATTGTTTAAATAAATATTAAAAAAAAAAAAAAGAAATCACCATTTTGAAACAGGATTTTTGTCACTAAAATTCCATTTTCTTGGAATTCCAGCCTGAGTTTTGATCTGGATAAAGAAAACTTGGTAAATTACTGTGCCCTGAGAGCTGCACATTTTGTACTTGCCAAGGTTGATATCCTTCATTAGGTCCAGCTATGTATAATGCAGGAGTGGCGGGGGAAGGGCATGACAATCTTGGAAACAGCATTTAACAAGACGACATCAAATGACACAGTACCTTTCATAGCATGCTTTAAAGAGTGGGAACGTTTGGTTATAGGTCTGAATAATAAATAGTAGCTGTGAACATAAAAAGCATGCTTACAAGCTGAAAATGCACATTAAGGAACTTAACTGTACTAAAGCTAACACACTTGTTTATGTAGCCATTCACAGATAACTGTGTAGCAAAATTAAAAGCCATATCTAACCTTTATGGTTTCAAAGGAAGTGTTTTGCAAAACTGCCATAGTTTGAGCTGAAGCAAAAACTTAGCAGATGTGAGCCTCTTTCATTTAGCAGAAAGCAAGTTGTGAAATCCATTGACAGCACTGTTCACATCAGAACCAATATCAAGATGACAGTTTTAGCAAATACATGTCTTACCGCAGGGTATCTTACATTTGTGGACTACCATACTTGTTTAAAGGACTCTCCCCATAAGTCTCTATTATCATTTTTTCTGCATTAATTTGGAGAATATATATAATGCTATTACAGAAATAGAAGCAGAATATTCCAGAGTCTGGTAGAAAATGAAAAAAACCATAGAGCGTGATTTAATAATACAGCCTAGAGTCTACTCTGTCAGGCATCAGTGAATAGCAGTCATTGAAGTCAGTGGTTCCTCAAAAGAGAAATAATTACCTGACCAAAAAATTTCAGGCTAAATGGTTTTGGTTTTGGGTTGTTTTAAGCTCTAGAATTTTAAACAGACTGTGAGAGGACAAAGTATGTAGGTATAGTATGCAAATGGAGGTAATAGATCTAGTCTTCACTGAAGTCACTGAAAGTCCTTCAGTCATTACAACGACTTTGCATCAAATCTATTTCAAGACTATTTAACAGAAATATTAAGCTAATGTTTAATATTAATGCCTTTTCTCCCCTTTTTTTCCCCAGAAATCCATAAAGAGCTCAGCCTTAGAATAGTCTTCTAATGGGTTTGATCTTCCCTATTAAATTAAATAGCATTTCATGCTATTCAGCTTTTTCTTTTCTCTTTCCTTTTACAGGCAGGCCAGATCTGACAGATAGCGGATATGAGGACTTTGCTGACATCAGAAAGCTGACAGAAACCAACAGACTTCAGTGAAATACCCCTCCAAGCACAGAGACTTATGGTAGCTTTAAAGTAACCTGTTGTTCATCTGCAAAGACATGGCTACTGGTACCTTCAGCACACATGGAGGAAGGCAACAAACATTGTAACCTGGCTAATAATACTCTGTTTTCCTTATCAAAAGTAGGAGGTAGGCCACTTATAAAAGGATTATTTCATGCTTAGCCTCCAGGACTTTAACTCTGGCCTGAACACTGGACATAAATAGAAGCCAACGTTAATGACCTGAGATTTTGTTACCTGTCCGTTAGTATCGTTATCAGTTCTTAAACACTTTGGTACTTTATTTCTTTAAAGTAGAAATGGGTTCGTGGACTAAAATGTTGCCCACAGATTGGGTTCTTCTCATGAAATCATGGCTTATCTTTTCCCTGGGGCTCTACATACAGGTCTCCAAAACTTTGGCCTGCCCAAAAGTTTGCCGCTGTGACCGAAACTTTGTCTACTGTAATGAACGAAGCTTGACCTCAGTGCCTCTTGGGATACCAGAGGGTGTAACCGTCCTCTACCTCCATAATAACCAAATTAATAATGCTGGATTTCCTGCAGAGTTGCACAATGTCCAGTCTGTGCACACAGTCTACCTGTATGGCAATCAATTGGATGAATTCCCCATGAACCTGCCCAAAAATGTCAGGGTTCTCCACCTGCAGGAAAACAACATTCAGACCATTTCACGTGCTGCTCTTGCTCAGCTTTTGAAGCTGGAAGAACTGCACCTGGATGACAACTCCATCTCCACTGTTGGCGTTGAGGATGGGGCGTTCCAGGAAGCCATCAGCCTCAAGCTTCTGTTCTTGTCCAAGAATCACTTAAGCAGTGTGCCAGTGGGCCTTCCGCTGGACTTACAAGAGCTTCGTGTAGATGAAAACCGAATTGCTGTCATTTCAGACCTGGCCTTCCAGAATCTTACAAGTCTGGAGCGTCTGATTGTGGATGGCAATCTCCTTACTAATAAAGGCATAGCTGAAGGCACCTTTAGCCACCTCTCCAAGCTCAAGGAGTTCTCAATAGTTCGGAATTCACTGACTTACCCTCCTCCCGATCTTCCAGGTACACATCTGCTCAGACTCTACTTGCAGGACAACCAGATAACCCATATACCACTTACAGCCTTTTCAAACCTCCACAAACTGGAACGTCTTGATATTTCCAACAATCAACTTCGGATGTTGGCAAAGGGAGTATTTGATAATCTCCATAACCTGAGACAGCTCACTGTAAGGAATAATCCCTGGTTATGTGACTGCAGTATTAAGTGGGTCACCGAATGGCTCAAATTTATCCCTGCTTCCATCAATGTACGGGGTTTTATGTGCCAGGGACCAGAGCAGGTCCGAGGTATGGCAGTCAGGGAGCTCAATATGAATATGTTGTCATGCCCCACCACCACCCCTGGTCTGCCACTCATCATCACCCCAGTCCCAGCTACAACCCTGCCAACTACATTAGTTCCCAGCTCATCATTTCCTTCCTCAAGTAGTAAATATAACCCTCTCACTCCCATCATAGCCACACTCCCCACTGTGCCTGACAGGGAGGACAGAGAAAGGGTGACGCCTCCTTTGTCTGAATGGATTCAGCTCTCCATCCATTTTGTGAATGACACTTGCATCCAAGTCAACTGGATGTCCCTTTTTACCGTGATGGCGTATAAACTCACGTGGGTTAAAATGGGCCATAGTCTGGTAGGAGGAATTGTTCATGAACGAATAATCAGCGGTGAGAAGCAGCAATCAAGCTTGGTAAATCTGGAGCCCAAATCCACTTACCGGATTTGTTTGGTTCCACTGGATACTTACAACAACTACCGAACTGGAGAAGACACTGTCTGTTCAGAAGCCACAACCAAGGCTTCCTTTTTGAATGGCAGCAACATCCCTTCCAGCCATGAGCAGACGACTTCTCAGAACCTAGGCTCCCCATTTCTGCTGGCAGGGTTGATTGGGGGTGCAGTGATATTTGTCCTCGTGGTCTTGCTCAGCATTTTTTGCTGGCACATGCACAAAAAAGGTCGTTACACCTCCCAGAAGTGGAAATACAACCGGGGCCGTCGGAAAGATGACTACTGTGAGGCAGGGACCAAGAAGGACAACTCCATCCTGGAGATGACGGAAACCAGCTTCCAGATTGTCTCCTTAAATAACGATCAGCTCCTTAAAGGAGATTTCAGACTGCAGCCCATTTATACCCCAAACGGGGGCATTAACTACACAGACTGCCACATCCCCAACAACATGCGATACTGCAACAGCAACGTCTCAGACCTGGAGCACTGTCATACGTGATAGTGAGGGAGCATGGGGGTCTCTAGGACAAGGAGAAAGAACTCTAGAAAAAATAAGCCCCCCAAGGATAATGGAAAAAAAATTACATTTGATAAATGTTACACAGATGCATTTATGCATTTGAATACTCTGTAATTTATACGGTGTACTATATAATGGGATTTAAAAAAAAAAGTGCTATCTTTTCTATTTCAAGTTAATTGCAAATGGTTTTGTAACTCTTTGCTTTTTAAATCTTTAAAAAAATATTGCTGAGTACTGTACAGGGTTGTACAATAAGAACCCAATGTCATGGCAAAGGAAAGAATGACTCATTCTTCAAACATTAACCACTTTGCTGTCGAAGCAGTCTGAGGGATGTTAAGTTTCTAGGTGTCCTGGAATACAGGCAAATAAGTGCATATTAAAACAGGGTCACTAGGAGCAGACAAAAGTAATTCAGATAAAATGGGCACAACTCTTCTGACTTGAACCCAGCAGTTGCTGTTGAGATTCAAACAATTGGAAACACATCCGTTCCTCTTTGTCAATTCTGCACCTCTCACCTCCAACTGAATGCTGGAGTTCGGAGCGCTGCCAAAAAAGCTACTTTCTTGTTTGATTAGTTTCCTTTCAATCTACTTGGAATAGGAAACGTGGAAAGAGCTCAGTGTCAAACTCAAAGTGACCTTGATTCCTATTTGCAAAAGTTGCTCCGAAAATTTCCCCAGTGCTAGATACCTTATCTTAGAAACTGTTCGTGCTTTTTATTAGGATTTCAAAGCTTTAGGCATTCTCTGACCCTTCTCAGTGGGAGGTGAAGGCATGTAATAGTGTGTAAAAGAGGGCTGTCATTAAGTTGCACCTCTTAATGAATCATCATTTGTTGACATAGCATGTTCAGGTAAAGCCAGAGCGAGGGAAATCCCGAGTGCTCCAAGCTCTGCAGTATTCATGTACACGTTCATGTAATTTGAAATCTAAAAGTGCGTATTGCTGAAAACATGCTGCAAAATATAATGGCAATGGAAAGGTTTTGCTAATAATTTGTATAGTTCAAGCTTCGTTCCACTTAACGGTCTGAGTTATCTTCATTACGGAGAAATAGGTGGGAAAAAAAATAACAAAAAGAGAAAGCAAACAAGAAATATATTGTTAAAAAATTATTTAGTACTGGAAAGACCCCCAGGGCTATAAAGAACTGAAATATGTTCAGTGGGGAAAATCATGTACAAATCTTGGTGAGTTTTGTTTGTTTGTTTGTTTTGCTTTTTTTCCTTCCCAATTAAAGTATACAGAGACTGACATTAGCTAAGCATTTGATTGACTGGGGAATTTTGAGAACACAGATACACAGTGTCCCTCTGAATTAACCTTCTTTTACCTTAAGCATTTTCTAGTTTCCCATAATGATTCTGCTTCACAAGCAGTAGGTGGGTTTAGAATTTGCTTTTTTATACCCTCAGATTCTTTGGTTACAATACCTTCTCAGTCCTTGAGCTTTACATGCACTATTGCAAAAACAACGTTTGTATTAAAACCATAATGCAGCTCTCAAAATTATGTAATGTTTCAGCCACTCTGCTAAGTCATTGACTGCTGAGAACTGTATTGGAATCTGATTTTTGGGGTGGGGTTCAGTTTGCTTTTTTAATGTAGCTAATTTTCTCCTGAGTTTGGGGACAAGTTAAAGCTACATCACGTTGGAAAAAGAAAAAGAAAAAAAGATAGATACAAAACTTCCCTGAGGTAGTAGTGAACCAAAGAGAAAGTTTTACAGTGATCACTTAGGGATAGACAGAAAGTTGCTGCATGTGGATTGGAAATAAAGGCTGAAGCACTTTTACAGTTGAATGCTTAGATTTTTTCACTTTATGAAGCTCCTTATGATGGAAGAGATGGTTTTAATCCTTTCCGTCTCTCATTTCACTCAACCCATTCTTGAAACTCAGCAGTATATAAGCATGTATTTTTTGCAACTCAAATCACATGATAACACTAATTTTCTGCAATGACAAAATGAACCCAGTTATGATGGCAAAGTACAACCATTTTTGTAAGGAACCACATCCTCCCACCAACAACTTTAAAAATCACATTTTGAAATTCCACTCTATATTCTATATATTTGCTATTTTTGCCAGCTATAGCAGGTATTCTAAGCAACCTGTGTGGCTACTGTAATATTTAAGTCACTAAAATTTTGCTGATTAAAAGTTTACCATATGTTTCCAAATGACATAATTCTAGGTAGGAATGTCTATGCTAAGTGGAGGGTTTTTTCTGTGATCTGTTTACTGAAGATGATAGTAAGGCTGATACTTTAGAGCTTTGGTTCTTGGTTTTGGTGGCTTTTGTTTGGTTTTTTTTTGGGTTTTTTTGTTTTGTTTAACATATTTTAGGTGCCACAGTTCAAAAGACAAGCAGCAAATAGTTGTGCTCCTGATGCCTCTGTTGCATGCTGGAGTTTGCTGGACGTTAAGCAGAGCCAGTGATTCCCATTGGGTGCGGACATAGTATTTAATTTCAATGAAATAACTGGTTGTACATTTGGTTTCAAAAGGCCTCCTTGGAAAGTACATGCTTCTAGTGTTTTGTACTTCAGTGACTGATGCAGGAGGAATCTTCAGTTCTGGACATCAGCGTACCATAGGCACCTTATTTGTAGCAATTGACTTAATTCAGGGAGTTTGGCCTGTACTGCAGGTGAATGATCCACAAGCCCAACCTGATGACAACAAATCTGGTTATTTATCAAAGAGGGTGAAAGCAGAAGGCATTTACAAACTGTTCATTTTGATCTTGAACGATGAAACACATATATGTATATTTATATACGTAGACTATAACTCACCTTGATCAAAAATTGCAATGATATTAAAGATAACATGCTTTATGCTTCCTTTCACTATGAAGAAAAATATATCAATTTGTATGGGATAAAAGATTCTTTACTATAAAGACTCTTCTGAAAAAAGCATAACAAGCGCCTTATACTGAAATTTGTGGATAGAGCAGGGAATATTATCGAAAAAAATTTGGAGTTGTAGGCAACTGAAGTGTCATATGTGTCATTTGAAGAATGTTTCTCCCAATTTAATTGCTCCTTAGCTCCAAAATGTATTTGGCAATGTATTTCAGCCTACCATAGAATTAGGGATTTCTGAAAGTGCCAGTCACACAAACACCTGAGATTTCATTTCAGTTCCCACCTAGATAAGCATTTAGTGAGCAAATTTCACTAGGTAAAGTATGTGGGAAAAGTCAGAGTTAAAAATGGACAATGATATTTTTGAAATTTAAAGTTCAAGATTAGCATCTTTTTCCTTAGGCTTTGTAAAAATTGGGTGATCTTCACTTAGGACAAATATCTGACCATATATAATAACTAAAGGCTATAGAGCAGAAGTGCCAAATATGTGCATGTACAATTCACTCAAAATGTTCACTTTGAAGTCCAGATTTGATCAAGTTCATTGGATCTGGGGACAAGTTATTTTTTTCAGACAAAATCTCACCCGTCTTCCATTGTGTAGTGCTAATGGTTGACACAGATGTGCAGAAAGACTGGTGAGTAGAATAAAATAAACATTGAAATTGTGTTAAAGAAGTATCATGACACTGCTGTTACCAGTGCTTGGGTTCCTTCTAAAGACATATTTATTTACAAAGAGGTCCTTATTTTCATGGATTCTGACATTTTAACAAGTGTTCCTTGCATGTGGCTTGCTGGCAGAAACAAACACCTGATTAATGCATGGACTTCATGTTAACAGGTTCTTATTGGAATATTATTACTGAATTTCTTTATAAGAATATTTAGGGTATAAGCTACTTTGAACTGAAAATATATTAGCAGTTTTCCCTGTAAGCCAATAAAGGACTATAGTGAATATCATGTAAAACAGAAAAAATGAAATAGCATATGAAAATTGCTACTAGAGTAGTTCAGCTATATTTTTCTCTGAATCATTTTCCTTTTTTCATGAGAGCAAGTTTCTCCCTCTGAAAAATTCATTCATTTCAATTTTGCAAACAAAAGAACTTCATGCATATTGATATTGTTGTTTTAAGGGTTTACATAAGGCACTTTATTAATGGCATTGAAGTGAAAGTTCAGTCTCAGCTTTTGACAGTAAAGTGGTTAATTCCCATTGAATTCTACATTTATAGTATTTCTTCACCTTAAATTTAACATGGAAATATTAAAGTGTTTTTTTTTTTCTTTAGACCATGAGAATAATGGTTTTACACATGACTTGTCTTTACAGCTCAGTGGAAAAACTAAACAGAAGTGAGTGCCAAAACCAAAAGTTGCTGGCTCTGAACCTCATCAAATCCTGCCTGATGCTCTCTTCTAAACACAGAGATAATCCTAGGAAGCTGATGATTACTCCTTCCCTGAACTCTATTGAACAGGGCACTTTGTATCCCACATGATACTACAGGCAATATTGAAGCATTTGGCATTAAACTTTTGTACAGCAGAGAATGTTTTGCTCTTTAAAGGGACGCTGGCTAGTAGTCCATATGGAAAACTAGCACAGAAGAGATTTGGCAACCTTTTATTACACTGGGGCTCTGTGGAAATGTGCCTCGTGAGAGCTGAATTCTGATCCTCTCAGAAACAGATAAGCTACTAAACAAATTTTTATCATGAGTTGATCCCAAATATCTGAAGATGATCTTTCATGAAATTGATTTTAGCTAAGATATGCACACTTGATTCTGTTCTGTGTTTGGTATACTTTCTATCTTTAACATGGAAAAATAGATGGTTTGAAGTCTGCGTTATCTGTTTTCTGCAATCTGCCATGTTGCACGCATTGTTAACTTCAAAACCTCACTATACACTATATATTATCTTGTTGACATATTCAGTAAAGAGTTATTTAAAAAAATACAACAATCTTGCTGTATTTATATGAGCAAGTTAATTAAAATAAGGATGTGGGTATCTGAAAGGGACAAAAAATATCAATATTTTGTACTTTCATTCATGGAGATATTTTCAGATGTTCTACTGAAACTTCTGTCTGTTCCATCCTCTCTTCATTTTCTAAAAGACAAATGTCTTCTGTCTCTCAAAGAGTTAAATAATTTTTTACCTCAGTTTCTCAGATTTAATCTTATCTTTAAAAAGTTATCTCTTTCTAATATGCATACAGAAAAGCAATGTAAAACGAGAACAAACTGTACTCCAGTGTTTGCAATTAATAGGTACACTTCAGGAACTACATGCCTATAAAAAATATATATGTGGAAGCTGTGACTCATTATATGCATAGCCATTTGATAAATGTGTTTGACATTCATCCATGACAATCATGAAACTGTGTTTTTAATTATTATTATATATTTAATCTGTTTCCTTGACATGAAATATGATCTTTTTCCAATTCTCCCTTCAAAATTGTTCTTGAATTTTCAGAATGCGCAGCATTCATACATAAGCCTTAATAAATTTTTGTATAAAGCAAATCTTATACATAGCATATATGGTAATATATACTATATATAAAGAGATGGCTTAGCTACTTAGAAATGGAAATTACCCCTCTCCTACTTCCATATACAAGAACTAATTTTTTGCTTTAACAGAAAGTGAAATGCTCAATGTTGCAAGCTCTGTTATTTCAAAGCTTAGAGATTTAATATTGCTGAGTGTCACAGTTCCTCAACAAATTATCTTAGTCGCTTTCTTAACCCCGAGTATCATGTAAAACCAAGGGTTGGTGTGCAGTACATCCACACCTAGTCCTGCCTCTTTTTCCCTGTAAAGTTCTGCCTCCCCTCATTTGGTGTTTCTGCTGGAGCACATTAGACCCTGGCAACTAAACCTACTTACCACAGGAGGGTGAACAAGAGATAATGAAAATGAGAAATGCCTGCCATCAGTTATGTGTTTCTGACAATGAGGGCATCATCATTTTCAATTGACAATATTTGCTGTTAAAAAAAAGAGTCGACAACCACTGACTTCATCAGGTAATCTTTTAATATCTTTTAAAATTATTTATTGTAGCAAAGATAAGACTTATTTTTAATACTTCTAAGCTCAGTTATCTGGACTTGTTTATACATGTACAATTGTGCATAAATTTCTTGTGTAGAGAGGATTTAGCTACAAAGATCTCTCAAAGAAAACACATGGAGGAATATTTTTCATTATTGTTCAATCAAAATTTTTAATATTCCACTTTAAAAAGAGTTTTTCCATTGAAGAAGAGTTACAGTACCACATAGAGAAGCTGCATTCCACAATTAAAGTATGTAACAAATATTTTGATTCTACTTGAAATGCCACTGTCAACATGGATATTCAAAGGCTGAAATTAAAAAATTACTAAAATACTTCCATTACACAGAGAAAGATTTGGTGAATTTTTTAGCAATAACTTTCATTCCTAAAAAAAAAAAAATAGCACATATTTACGGTGAAATCCTGCCTCCACTGATTTCAACTATAAATCACAATAATACATAACAGAAGGATTATTAAAAACATGCATTACGACACATATGTCACACTATCTATCCCCAAATGAAATGCATCAACTGAATGAGGCAGAAGGCCTAGGTCTCTCTTATGAAAAGCTGGGAAATTTGTGAAAAAGACTGTGCAGAAAATGAGTGGGGAGATAAGTATGTGCTGAGCAACGTTGGCCAATATAAAGCCATGGAAGATAAGAGCATTTAAAGCCACAGATGGTCCAGTGAGCATAGCAAGAATGTTCTTTATTCACAAAAACACATATTTTTTCTTATAATCTCATATTTTGGCTAAATTGTGACTGAAAAATGCATGCATGAATATTAAGAAAGAAAAAAAGAGAAAAAGAAAGAAAGGGAGAGTGTTGGTTTGACTACAAAGTCAAACAATTTAAACGACTGTCTTATAATCCTGACCTCATATATTTCCACAAGCTGCTTTGGGCATTCACAGGTCAGGAGCCAATGCATAATTCATTGCTCTCTGACTTACAATGAAAATGCTAGGAATTTCTCCCCATTTAGGAAACCTGTTCAGAAAATTCTAGAGTTGATGCGAAGTCAAGTTCTGCAGTATATGCTGATGTGAGCAATGACATTTATTCAAGCAGGACATTAGCATGTGTTTGTGAGGACTGCAGAAGCAAGGCATACACAATATTTGATTTTCAAGAAAACACTACACCTGACAAGAAGCAGGTATGAGTTATCAAGAACAGATGATTTAGAAAAACAGACAAGTAGAAACCTGAGTAAGGGGAGATACTCCATAGTACTGTAGTTATTTTAATAGTATACAGCTAAGTACTTCAGACAATTAAAAAAGGAGTTCATAAAAGTATTGAAGCTTTTCATATTTCCCTTCCCTAGGAGCATATATTCCATTTCCAGTTCACAAGAACATTGTTCAGACAGCTTTTTACTTACATCTTCATTGGAGGTTAGTTTCAAAGCAAGTGTTTTTTGTTGTTTTTTTTAAAAATTGGTCATGATGTTTATTTGAAGTCTTGGTATGCACTGATTTATTTCATTGGCTATGAAGAGTTTGAGAAATAGACTACTTTGTGTGCAATACTTGCTTTCATGGGAAATTAGTATATGCGTAGAGCTTTCTGATTTTGTAATTTAACTTTTCCTTTTTGTAATTTAACTTTACAAAAATTGAGCAAATTTGAAGTAGAGCAAATTTAAACTATTTTCTGCTGTAATTACAGCAGTGGTTAGACTGTCATATTCTTTCTAACAGAAGACAAAATTTAAAAATACTGTTAAGAAAAATTATCTTATGGAATTTTGATATCAATTTTCAGTTGAATTAATTACTTTTCAACACTTAATTGCAATACTCATGCTGAGAACTTGAGCTAGAAACACTGAGTAAACTCAGGTTTGTGGTTATAGGAACTTTAGGTTCATAGGTTCAGTTTTACAGATGATTATTAGCAGCTGCACAAGGAGAAGGGAACAAAGGTTTCTTCTTCCTTACTCAAGTATCAGATTCCTTTCTGCAGTGATCAAGGAGGAAATACAGCTACTTCACAGAGATCTCCCTCAAGAAACGAGGTGGCCAGAACAGAAAGAAAATACATGCAGTCACCATTTCTCTTTGATGACTACAGAATCTGGCAGAAGTAGAGCTGAATCATATTATAAGGGATGCAGCAAATTCCAGGTGTTCTGCATCATTAAACAGGACATTTGCTTTGCCCAGGACCCTACTGAGGTGCCTTCACTGAGGTTCGTGTTCTTGGAGGACTTGTGTCAAAAGGCAAAACTCATGCCCATAAGAGCAAGGAAGGATCTGGGTTTTACTTTGTTTTGTGGGTATTTAATTACTCTTTCCTGTAAGTTCTGAAGTGCCAGCTACACCACACTGTTCAAAGAGTGTGCAACAAGGCAGGTTTGAATGGTCACATTTTTGATGACTCTCCTTTTATCAGTGCAAATATTAGTGAGGTCCACGAAGGCAAGTGGATTCCAATCCACAGCAGATGTGATCATTGTGTTAGCCAATGTGTCAGACCAGACACTATTTTCAGTTTAGATGTCTATTACTTTTCTCCCTTATTTCTTGTCAAATTATTTTTTTTTCTTAATGCCTGAAACTAAGCATTTTGTACTATTGCTTATTTGTCACAGAGAAATCCTACCAATACAGTGAACCATTTGTCATGAAGTAATGATCTTCTACTGTGATATCAATTCATTTTATATCCAGGCTATAAAAAATCCAGAGGCACCAGTCTCACAATTTCTGTTGCTTTTTGCCTCATTTCTTCTATGTCACATCAACCTTCTCTAGCATGATTACCTTAGAGGGCAGATTGCTGCTTGATGCCTCACATGGTTATCTGATTTATTAGGGTTTACATTTAAGATTAAAACAAGAAAAACAAAGCTCATTTCTGATTGCCTGCATCTTTGGGCTGCTCTAGTAGTAATTTACTCTGTACCTGTCCACTGCACTATTAGTTTCTCACCATTTTACACACACATAAGACACACACACACATAAACATATTCACAGTCATGCTGTATTTATAATTTTTTTTATGTTTACATATATTCAAATATTCAAATATACAAATATATGGACATATGGTATGTATATCTGTATTATAAATATGGATGTTGAGTCCATAGTGGATCTTTTGCTCTGGATTTATGCATCAATTCAGTTCCACCTTAGATTGTTCAAGGGAGTAAAGAGGTAGAATAGCATGATTTTTTTTTTTTTAAGAACTGTAATGTCAGTATTAGTAAGAGCATGTTTTCAATAATTTATCTGCTTTGACAGCCTATGCACTAAAATTTGAAAATTACAGAGAAGATTATCCCAGCTCCTGGAAGCAGATAGTGTGCACTTTTTGGAATACACTTGGGAATGCTCAAAGCACATCTGAGGAATCAGTTTATAGCAGGACTGTTCTGTGTGGTCATGAAATAAAGTGTAGACAGAGGAGAAAGTGAGAGAAGGCCGTATGAAACTGAAACCCAGTATGGACAATAAGGGATAAATTTGAATATTTCTACATCATTAGCCTTACTGACAACTTTCTTTGTAATTATTTTTCTCTGTAGTCTATATTTCCTTCCCTCACTTTTAAATGACTCTTCACCTTCTGCTTCATAAGAACCTGATTTTTCATACAGGATTTTTTGGAATGCCCCAAAAGAGCACTTGTCTTATACATGAGCAAATGCATTTGTGTGTAGCAGCCCAAGTGGGCAGCATTCATTGCCACTCATCCTCCTCAAGTCATTAATCTAAATCTTTGAAAAAGTTCTTTCTGAGATGAGCCAAACAGCCAGTGTTTGCTCTTACAGGCAAAGTTAGAGATTTGGTGGGTAATGTTCTTTTAGTGTTTTACTTTGGAGTAATAGGAAATTAATTGATGTAAGTAGTGAAGTTCCTTCTAGTTTAGGAAGTTCCACTAATGAACTACTCTGAACATCAAAGCTTCTTTTAGTATTTGGAGCAGGGGTGGAGAGAGAGAGAGATAGATTTGAAAGACAGAAATCCTGCTAATGAAAATATTTTTTTTAAAAAATACGGGCCAAAATATAATAGTTCTGTTCAGACCTAGAGTACCAAACAACTGTAGTAAATATAACATTGTAAATTGTAAAAATTGCTTCTATTTTTTCTCTAACCGTGGGATTCATTTAGGGTTGCTTCTTATTTTAAATGACTAAATTAGTACACCATTAAAAAAATCTTTGCCTGGGTTGAGAAAAATTCTTTGTTTCATATATTTTCTATTCAAAATTTGAATTTTCTTTTTCCATTTTCTTCCCCAAAGAAACAATTGTCTGCTGTGTTGCAGTGAATTTGGGAAGCTGCACGCTTATAGGTTAAAACAAAGCATCACAGTACACATTCCTCCAACTTGCTATAGAAGATAAATTGTTTGGAGAAACATTTCTTCAAGCCCTAAAAATCCAGCAAATAGTTGGATCCGGAGAAAAATTTTAACAGTGTTTGAAAGACTGATGTTAATTTGAAGCAGTAGAGAAATCCACTGTCAGATGAATGCTTTCTTCACATTAATTCTAAAGGATGACATGCACTCATTTGAGTTTAGATTTAGACAACTGATGAAGGATAAGTGAAATAATCATAGGAAATAATGAAGTTATGAGTAAAACACTAACAGCATTAGTTTAGTGCAGTGTATGATATGCCTGAAATAACATGAATTTTCTCAAGTTAGAATTTACTTCTTGCTGCAAAATGCAGTTCTGTTTTCTAATGAACACTATGACCTCCTAAACATTTTGATCAGCATATTTCTCATAATTATTCAAAAATCGTGTTTCAGAAGCCATCCTTCAGAAAGGTTTTTAGCCATGCTAAATACTCTGGTGTTTCAACTGCTTCCCTTGGTAATGCTCTGTTGGATTTGCTTGCAGGCTTTTTCCTTTTGTTTTTCCTGCTTGACTACCCTGGCTGGAGCCAATCATGTGAAGCATATGCCATTTTTCCATGTGCAGGTTTTTCTCAGGGCAGCAGGACAAGAGGGAAGAGGCAAATTATGACAGATCCTTTCAGCCCTCTGATGGTGACCCACAAGGAGTTTGCCACGCAGTGTCCCCCACACAGCTGCCTGAGAGCCCTCAGCAGGTGCTGTGAAGGGGAGGATGCCAATGGTGTGATGGATGATCATCACGGCTGTCACCTCTCCTCAGCATCACTCTGCCTGCCCTGTGCTTCTGCAGCATCCCGTCTAACACACGTGCATCAGCAAATGGCTCCCTGCTGAATCACCTCTAGTGCCTGCTGAACAGCAGGAAGGGCCAAGAGGGGACTGGAATCTGCTCCCTGAGCATCAGATCCACATTTTCCAGTTTCCTGTTCCGTCAGCTACACATGCTACATTCCTGAAAAAGCGTTCGAACCATAAATTAAACTGACAAAAGTAAAGGCTTTTGTAACTGATGGCAAATTCAAAGTTTATGCTAAAGGCTCTAGTTTTGCACATTATATAAGAATTTATCTTAATATTTTTAATAGGGTATCCACATCTTTAAAGAATACTTGGATGCATCTCTGTAGAAAAGATTAACAAAATGTAAATTGCATGGGAATTTGAAAGGACTGGAATAATCTGTGGATCCTGTTACAGTCTTCTTCAAAGGGAATTATTCTAAGAGTTTCACGTTTTGGAATGAATCCTGAAGCATATTTTTTTTTAGCCAAAAAGCATTGTCAGATTAGAATAATTTAAATAGAAGACCATCTAGGTCAGTTATGATTTCTTCTGTAGATCCACATATAAATTTCTAATCCTCATTGTCATCTAGTACATTGAAAAGACAAATTCTGACACCGAAATGTTAGTGATCCTGAGCCTGGATACTTGTTGATTCATCCTTAAAACTGGGAAAATGATACATCCTTTACTAACCTGGAGATAAGCACTGGGTAAAAGCTAGGCATTTTTCTTATTTCACAATATGCAGCTCTGCTGAAAAACTTGCCTAGAGCCATTTTAATAGAACATAAGAACCTGCTTTAACATTTTGATAGGTTTTTTTAATATATGGACTCCATAGGAACTCAAAAACAATATACAAAATATAATGAAATTATATCATCACGATGTCCACACTTCTACTTAAAAATATGATAGCTAAAGAAGTAAATAATGGTTGTACATAAAGCTAGGACTTCATTATTAGTATAACTGAAAAGTTAAATCAGAAAGCCAACCAACACCTAATAATGACAGAATATTAAGAAAATAAAGAGCATAAAAAAGAATACCACCTTTACTAAAAAAGCCCCAAACCAAACCAAAGTAAAAAAATTCAAAACAACACTCAATAACAATACATTTAGAAGTGTATCACACATTTCCTAGCTGCTAATGGTTTTGTTGAAGCTTTCACTCTTCTTTGACATCCACCTACATGTTATGGTACCATGTAGAAACCACCAGCCCCCAAACTATTTTGCAGGGAAGACTATGATGAAATTGTAGTTTCCTTCTTCACCTTAGGATCTGCTGAGGTAATATTTGTTTCTTTTTTTAATGGTCTTTTACACATAGCTTCTTCCTTATTGCTGTGCAAGTCCAGAGTACATTCAATTTCACTACATAAAATGTAGTAATTTGCACTTGTCATACCCCCAAACCCCAGTTTTGTTCAGGTCTGCATTTCTTTGACTGACTTTTGATAAGTTGTTCCTAGCCATGGGGTGTCTGGTGCCAGGCTGTGACTCAGCTCTTGTCCCACACCGCTATTCCTCTATACTTCTTTTGCTTCTTCTTCTCAAGGACTCCGCCCACATACCAGCCCTGTGATTCTCTGCATTGCTTCATTACATTAGGCTCACAAATATCTCATTTTATATAGAGAAACTGCTTTTTACAACTATATATGAAACTGGTTATACCAGAGGAAGACAAGCCATATTAAAACAAATTACACATAGCTACCCACTTACGAGAGAAAAAGACTGTTACAGCTTAACTAGGTCAAAACAAAGTTCCAGGCAGATGAGGAAAAAGTCACAGAAAGCAAGCTTGACAAGCCATAGTCCTGAGGCCTCATAAACTCAGTGCAAATCCTGTGGCCCACTTCTAGCAATAAAAATACTGCAATACTGAGCTACAGGCTAGGACACATAGTGTATGAGTTTAAAATGTTTTAATAAAGCCACTGTACATCCTCTGTACTCTAGAGACTAGTACCTGCATGATTGTAAGAAAACCTATGAAAGATTACAAAGAATTTATTTTTGTAAATAAATGTAGCTGTAGGAATACCTATGAAGTTGCTTAAAGAGTTTGAAAACACAAAAGTGTGGTTAAAAAAAAGTTGGTTTTTTATTTGTTTTCTACTACTACTGCTCTAAAATTTAAGGTTTATTACTTAGTCTAAACAAAGCCTTCTGAAAGAGAACGTATTGTGGGAACCCATGACAATGTAAGTAATAGTTTCTGCAGTGATTCTGCAACCTTAATTTAAATAACAGAAATCTGTTTCTGAGAAGTCTTTTCAAGCTGTCAATTCTACTTTAGAAGACACTATCCTTCTCACTGTGATGGTTGGCTTCTCTAATGAGATTACGTTTCTTATAAGACTTTCCTCAAGTCTTATTCTCGTGCTCTAGATTTTTTTTTTCTTTTCTGAACAGATTCTGAATCTTTAACTTTACCAACATTTAAA